GCTTATTTTCTCTTTCTTTATACTTTAGGTCCCGAACACTCCATCACGATCCGCCTGGGAAGAGGAGGATACGGGTCGAACATCAAAGGTGCACACTTCAAGCTGGGACACCCCGCTGTCATCCACTCATTCTGATGATGCGGGCGCTTCGACAACGCGCAGTATCTCCAGCATTTGGCGAAGCGAACGAAAACATGAACGACGAAGAAATGAAAAAAGGAGGTACAAATTCACCAGTTATTTTTCGGAAACAAAAAATCCTTATAATTTATCTGTGTGTGAGCGAAAACAAGTGATCCATCTCTCACGTTTTTTTAGTGCTAATTTCTTCCTTTTTATGTTTTTTTTTTGCATTAGTCACAAAAACTCACCACAGAGAAGCTGTATATGAATGTGTTTTAGTGTATGCATGTGGATGTTAAGATCTTTTTTTTTTAAAACAAAATAGCTCCATTTTTCCAGTACTATATATTATCCCTATAGTTACTCCATTTTTCCAGTACTATTATCCGTATACATAGCAAATGCCCAAGATAGCCTGGGCATTTGCTATGGGAGATCCATGTTAGTGATGTTACAACGATGCATGTTCGCGTATGCGCAACTGTGTCACATTTTTCGTTTTTGTTTCAGACATCTCCAGCTAGTACTTACTGTCTTTGATGATAAATATGCATCAGCTCTTCAGATGTCATTCGGTAGTATTTTCTCACGGGTACCACTTTTTCTTAAGTATCGCCTTTGCTATCATTTGGATGGCATCGTTAACATACATCCCCCTCCCCATTCCTGTCTCTATGGATGATAAAATACTCTATGGATGATCAAGATAGCCTGAGCATATTCTTGATTAAAAGAGGATGCAAATTCGTCCGCTTAAATTTGAGACATCGAGAAGACACGGTGCGTTCGGTGAAAGAAGAGGGAGATATGATACCCGAGTTTCGTGATGATTTTGAACGAGCAGAATGGGAACGAGAGCAGCAGAAGTTGGATCGCGAATGGTATGACAATGATCAAGGATACGATGAGGAAAACAATCCTTTTGCTCAGGTTTCTCTTTTTTTTTTCAGTAAGCAGCGTCAAAAAAAGTTTTTTATTTCTTTTTTTTTTTTCAGTAAGCAGCGTCAAAAAAAGTTTTTGTTTAAAAAAAGCACTAGTTTTTCGCGCGAGAGATGTCAATTTTTCTAAAATTTGCTTACTGGCTGCGAGAGTGAGCATAATTATGCGTTACGTGCATACTAACAACTCATACTGCTTTAGTCATGTACCTCATACGTTACCTCTAATTGGATACCACCAGCAGCAGTTATTTGCTGCTCATGGTACCCAGTTACACTCGGAAAAGTGTACTTACCTTTTTGTGGAGCTTAAAGAGGGCAAAAATTCGCTTTTTGAAATTTTTATGCCCCTCGGATATTTATTCTATTTAGTCGTTTGCCGCTTCATCGTAGCCCACTTTCAACTTCACTCGCATAGCTGGATAACCGTTTGACGGTTGTTGTGATCGAAGTTGTAATTAGCGTGGTTGTTGGCATCACCTGATCCTATCGCTTTTTTAAGGTACATTCCCAAGGTATTTTAGAACGTTTGGACCTAATATAGGACTAAGCTATGGAGCTAAGTTTAATTTTGCAAATACGAAGAATACCAAAATGGCTCGGACAACCGGTATGGGTATCGCATGTTAGTTTTTATGCGTTTTTTGCAGCAGTGCAATGCGAAAAACACATATTGACGAGAGGTTTTGTGTGTGTGTGTGTGTGTGTCTGTGTGTGCGCTGGGCCTCTA